AATACCATACTATGCCATGCTTACTTTTGCACTGCTGCTGGCGTTGGCTCTGCCTTCAGAGCTGGGCTCCCAGCCAGCAGCTACCACTCTCCAGCTGCCCAGCTCTGAAGGTAACAGCACAGAAGTAAGAGTGGCATGGTATGGTATCCCTCCCTTTCTAGCCCCATCTGCACAGCCCCCTTGGTACATTCAGGTTGTCTCTAATTTAGCTGCCTGGTTTATTCCTTGTGATTTGATCGTGTGGCTTAGCAAGTAGCTGTGAGCAATTTTCATTTATCTCTGTGTGCTGGAAATTATCTCTCTGCTGTCCTCTGTCTATTTATAATGCACTGTGGGAGACTGTTGAAGTGTAGCAAAAGACAGGCGTGGTCTTTGAAGGCTGTTACTTTGCTCTGAAGCACTTCTGCTTAGCTTATACCACAAAGAATGTTTTAAACGAGCAGCCGAGTGCAGATCTTAAGCCAGCCTCACTATAATGGTCCACATCTGCACCTAAAATAGTTCATATAGCTAGTTGGGCCTTCAGAAATTGTTTGGTTACGAACGGCAAGCATGTGCAGCTGCTACGTAACGTGTGAATGTATCGACCCCATCAGAATTCAGAAGTACAGTCAGGGATGATCCTGAGCTTTGAGTCGCAAAAACGCCTGAACTCTAATGTTGGCTGTGCTGCAGACATGCTGGAAGACCTTGGGCAAGTCCCTTTTAAATTTTGTGTCCCACTTCCCCAGCTATCTAATCTATTTTGGGGTATTCTGTAGTGCTGAAGCATTTTCCTGGTAAATTACTTTTATATAGCAATGTTCCAAGTGTCTTAGGGTATGGAGTTGAGCCAGACCTAGGGTGACCATATGGCCCATTTTGGCCGGGACAGTCCCTTTTTTAAGCCCCGTCCCGGCTGTCCTGACTTTTTTTGGCAAAAGTGGGCATTTGTCCCATTTGCTCTTGTCAGCTGGATCATTTGGCAAGAGCAAACGGGACAAATGCTCCCTTTTGTCAAAAAAGTGGGGTGCTGTGTAGAGGAACAGTGTGGAGTGGGGGGGGCCGGCATGGTTCGAGTGACCAGTGACAGCCTTGAGCGGGGGGGATGGCAGGGCTCGGGCGAGCGACTGGGGCCAGGGAGGCGAGGGAAGTGGGGGGCAAGCAGCTGGGGCCAGCCCCAGGCGGGGAAAGGGAGGGAGTGGGCAGGCAGGTGAGCAACCCTAGCCGGACCCTGAGACTGTCCCCCATTTACCAAAATGATCCTCAGATGCCTTTAGTGAGAAGGGGATGATGATATCCGTGCTAATTCTTAAATGCTTTCCTCCATCCGAGCAGCATAACGTCAGCGTTGCCTAGGTTTAGTTTTTCATCCAGGTGCTGGTTTCCTGTAGACCCCATGACATCGTTGTGACGTCATTAGGTGCGACCGTGAAAAGAGAGAGAACGCAGGTGCGATCAGTGTATGGCTGGCCACGGAGTCTGTGTGTTCTCACCACACACAGTTCCATGGAGATGAAATGGATCCTTGTGATGTCCTCAGATTGGGGGCTTTTGGAGAGGTGGTACAGTTTGCCCATCACCACGATGGATCCTGTATTGCTACCGCAGAGCTAGGAAAAGAGCCCAGTTGTCCTGACTCCCAGTTTCTTGTACAAAACACTTGACTTATTTATTTAGGTAGGTAGGTTGCCATACCAATGAATGCTGCTGAAATGTAAATCTGATTGACCTGGGTTTATTCTCAGTCACGTTTTACGCTGCTGGTTTGAAATGGGCTGAAATGTGTGAGCTGGACTCCGTATGTGCTTGGCTCATTGCCAGCTCTTTTACCAGCTTCTCTCCCCTCCTCCTCTCCCTGGCAGAATGTGGCATTTGGATCCTGCCCAGAAAGCCGCGAGAGTGAATGATGTTGTAGTAAATCTGTTTTGACTGGGGATCTGCAGCGCATAATATAGTCAGGATGTCATTAAGCCTATGGTGTGCTTAAAGGGACGAGTACAGCAAAATATGCTGCAAACAAAACCAGCAGCCCCGGAGGTCAGCACAGAGCTTGGAAACAGGAAATGGCTCCTTGTGTAATTAACGTCAGTTTCTTTATTATTAGCTGCACAAACAGAAGGTTGGCATAGCTCCTGAGTGATCAAGTTAAACTCTGAACCCTCACAAGCCCACCAGCCCTGGGTGGTGGGGAAGCGAACAAGAGTTTTGTTCCCTCTCTTGTATATTAGATGCTGAAACAGAAGATTTTTTATTTTTTTTTTGCAAATCAGTCAAAATGCTTTGTGGGCTGGGGGTTTATGTGACCATCCCCACCCCCGATAAACCAATACAGCTGGCTTCAGCATAACCAGAATTCAGCATTCCAAGTATTGGGGTTTTTAATAATGATTTTCTGGAAAAATAACATGTGCACGCACCTGCACACTCCACCCCTGACCCGTTTGCGATATTGGCCTTTAATATTAGCAGCATTTCAGATGACTTAGGTAGGGACTTGTGGGTTGATGACCATCCTCACCTGGCAGTGTGTCAGTTGGAGAGGCCTCACCCCAGCACGCTACGCTTCCCAATTCCTGAAGAAAGATTTGAGGCTATACAGCCCATGGTATGTAATGCTGCAGCTGCGTCCTTGTGCTCCCTGAATGCTCTGCCCCTCTGCTCTTCTGAGGGCTTTCTATTGTCCAGCAGCAAAACTCTGAGAGAGTAAAAGAACAAACCACCTTCACTCTGCCCTCCCCCAAAGTCCCCTTTTAAAATACCCCCCACCCCCAACAAAGCAACTCAAAGAAGCAAAAAGGCTGCCTTGTAAAATACAAACAAACTACTGTACCGGCACCCCCCAAAGCCTCCTGCAGTGACCCTGGAATTCCGAGGGGCAGGCTGGATTTCTCCATTGACACTGTCCCAAGTAAATTAGGGGGATTGGGGAGAGAGAAAAGTAATGGGATGCCGGGACTTTTTGCTGACACAGTGCTTAGGGGGCTGGGAAACCAGTTTGACCAGTAAGTGGAGCCTGGGAATGGCGTGGCAGCAGCACATAAAGGGATGAAAGGGTGTGTAGATAATGGAAGCTGTATGTGATGCGGGGAAAAAGCTGCTTTGTGCTTGACATTGAGTATCTTTCAGCGGATAAACCTATTATTTGAAATCAGGAGGATGTAGGCACTGATTTCTGAGGTGCATTCTTTTGGTCTTGAGGGGATGCGACCAAGTAACTTAGGTCCAAAAGCATGAGCCGTTGTAGTTTTGCTGTATAAGTGGCAGTGCAAAAAGCAAAGCAACTACATAAAGGATGAGACAGTAAAGAGCTGGGTGATTTTTAGTAGCAAGTAAAGAGACTTTTATGCAAAAGACACTTGTCTTGGGAGTATCCTTTTAAAAAATGTAAACGTTTTGTTCCCATGTCCCTTCCTGGCAGCTGAGCCGTGTGCTTGTGGGTAATTGTCCTGATGACCAGAACAGCTTCCAAAAGTCCCTTTGCGCTTTGCTCCTCCCCCTCAAAAGAAGCCCAAATGGTTCCTTCTGAGATCTCTGTGAGTCACAAATATGCATTTCCTGAAATGGAACTGAACAGTGACATTCTGTTGCCTTCTGAAGGTAAAAAGACCGTCACAAAGCAGTGATTGTCCTTCCTTCCATTCATGTCACAACTGGCAGGTTTTGCTGGCTCACTGACCTTTCTTTCTGTGCTGAATCCTTTCCCGAGCCTGGATTACATGTTCACTTTCCTAGGATGATCATCTTGCTTATTCCGTGTGACAGAATTCTTTTCCCTCTTCAGGCAGCCTGAGCCTGCACACACTGCAAGGTGTAACTTCACTCGCATTGGAACGTTTGCGGGATAAGGGCTTAGGTGTTCAAGCAATGGCTTTCCCCTGGTGATGCTAAGAGTGGGGATGGTCCGTTCAGATAACATAAAGACTGACTAACACCTCACCCAAAAACTGAAGATAATTCTTTCTTGAAGTTTGGGGAGAGTCTTCTTTGCTTATTCCTTCCTATTTATACTCACTGGCCACAAAGGTTTGATCTCCTCTTTTGCTGCTGTATTGTCGGCCTTAAATGTTTCAAAGGAGAGAGTTTTTTAAAAGTGGTGTTGAGGAAAGTCTTTTTGTTGAGAGAGAGAGAGAGAGAAAGAAACATCACTGAATTCTGTGGAACTGGGTGGAGCTATTGGGGAATAGGAGTGAGGAAATAAAGGGAATCGGCTTATAGTTAGATCCAGTGACTGGTGGGATTTCCAAAGCCTCTACGTGACTCAGGAGCACAGTTCATACCCAGAGCCAATTGGCATTGTGCTCCTAAGACACTTATGGGCTTTGGAAAATACCACCTTGCATGTGGCAGGCTATGTGGTAACTTAATGAGGTTTGGATCGGGAACAGAAGCTGTGAATTGTAAAGTAATAAACAGGTGTATTATTAACTTCTTAGACAGCTCCTTTCAGCCAAAAGAACCACAATGTGGAGGCTTAGCAAGCTATCTAGTGGAATCGCATCACCCACCACTGAAATGCTGCTGTCGCCTGGGGTGAATTTGGCAGCTGATTAAGAGTGCGCGGCAACACTATGCAACAGTTAGTGGCAGAATGTAATTCATTTACCCATTTAGACTTCAGCTGGGACAGCTGGGCTACCATTCATACTCTGTGGGATCCTTGAGGATAACAGGTCCGGATATTTAAACTCACGTCTCCTATGCTACAGTGCAGGGACATTGGTTTAGCACTGATTCAGAAGGAAGAATGCCATTCAGCATGTGGGGTGAAATGCTGGTCCCATTGAAGACAATGACAAAACTCCCGCTGACATCAGTGGGGCCAGGATTTCACCCCTGGAGTCTCTCTTGGATGGCAGGGTGTGTGCACCTCAATCAAGTACTCTCGAGGCAAGCAGGTTGAGCCTGGGGAAGATCTGACAGGATCCAGGGCTGAGGTGACATGGCTGACTATTGCATACTTTTTAATACCTCTGATTTTTCATTTTTCCCCCTTCTCTCTCTCCCCCCCTTCTCAACAGATCTGTCTTCAGCAAAGCGGAAATTTGCAGATTCCCTAAATGAGTTTAAATTCCGATGTATAGGAGATGCAGAAACAGATGATGAAATATGCATAGGTAAGTGGGAAGGCTACATTTGTTAAGGGGGTCTCTCTTGATATTTCTGGACCGAGCTAATCAGAGCACGAGGCGCATAGACATGTGATAGAAATACATGTGAAGTATTGATGGACCCAGAAGCTCCACTAAACTCCGTCCCAACCTGCAGAAACAATATCTTCCTTTTAATCCAGCCCTTGTGTGAAGCCCAGGGAAACTGGAGTCTTGCAGTTTGCCCTGAAGTTGGCTCTGTCAAGCCAAGGGAAAGAGAGTTCCAGAGTCCAGGGCTTCTCATTGGCAATACCCTGCCACTAGCCCCTTTCCATTTTAAAGCAGTGCATCTGTGAATCTGGTGGGACAAAGGCATGGCTAAATATAGCGAGTTCCCGATCCAAAAGAGAAGGCGGCAACCTTCTTGCTAAGCAGTGGTGAAAAAAGCACTCCTGGCCACTGCTATCGGGACAAACAGAAGGAGATGAGGATCCAATTGGACTCCCCAGGTTGTGATCCTGGTGGTAAAACATGGCCTTTTACTTTAGTGCAAAGGAGCAGCTCCTCCTTGTTTTTCCCCCAGCCAGCCAACATTAGCCCTCTCCTATCAAGGTTGATCCCTCGGGCTTTTTACACACGAACAGGAGCCTATATAACTAAATTGGGTTTAAGCCTCATCTTTAGTAAGAGTGTCCTATTTCAATTGAACTTGAGTCAATGGTTTTTTAATTTTCTTTCTAGCCAAACCCCAGTCTCACTTAGGCAGTGAGAGGGCTTTTCAGCTGAGATGACCAAACGTACTGGTCATACCTCACATCCTAGGTGAGATGCCCTAGATCCCCTGTGAGACAGACCCAGCAGAGGATAAAGAATTGCCCATTGGGTAGTTCACTTTCAAGACCAATGCAACATCTCTTTGTCTGTGGGGCTTGGAGTATAGTTTTGTGGCTGCACGTCTTACCAATCGGTTTTATTTTTTTATAGTTAACTGTCAATAATCGAGATGAAAAAGAGCTATTGAGTCATCCAGTCCATCTCCCAAGGGTCTGGGGCTGCAGGACTGCACAATAAACTTGCCAGACCATGGCTCTACGTGTCTAGCAGCTTAATTTAAGGGCCTGTGGGTTGTTTTTGGGAAGATATACTAGGGAAAAGCCAGTCTGGTATATATTGTTCCTCCCAACCATGGTTCTGCACAGGTACTCCGGCTTTGCTATCAGCGCCACTGGAAAAGTTCAAGGTTCAGAATTTCCTATTTCTGTCTCTACTTCACTAAAATGTAAGGACAGAAACAAATCTGAATTGATTGGTTTTCCAGGTGACATAAAATAAATAAATTTGCAACAAAGTGCAATGAATTCGAGCCTGGAGCAGACTTGTACGTGCAAGGCTGCAAAGTTCTACTTCATATCCCACTAACAGTGTAACTGGGCCACAAGGGAGTTCCATGCACTTGTTCAGAAGAGACCGGCATGCCGCTACTCATGAATATATTCCACCAAAATTCAAAAGCCAATTCTTTGCTCTTATTAGCAGCCAATGAACAGCCAACCTGCTAATAAAGTAAGGATGCAACAGCATAATCTAGTCCGACTGCCCGGTATTTCATGTTAAGAGTAACTAACTGCTGGAAATGTGTAGCCCAAACTTCTTTAATGTTAGAGACTTTACAGCCCATTTTATATACTAAACCTACTGGTGTGTCTCTTTCAGCAAAATCCCTGCAAGAATTTGCCACTGTTCTCCGGAATCTCGAAGATGAGCGAATGCGCATGGTATGGACTTTGAGGCTTGTGGTTTCTGAGTTAAACCTCCTTCTGTATGATCCTTTGATAAAGGGGAGGGTTGGCGAGGAGTTCAGGGTCACTATGGTGTTGGGAGAGGCCTGTCGTCTGCTCACGTAGGCTGGAAGGTAAAAAGGGGCTTTAGGTACCTCGGCCTGAGGTCTGTGGAGAATAGAAACTGGTGAGTGCATTGAACTGATTTTGAGATGTGGGCTCGTGGCATGAAACGGGCTGACCAGAGTCCCTTCACCAGGTCTCAGCAACTTTCAGATGGGTATTACGGATGCAGTGGTAACTCCTCCTGACCTATGTACCAGAGGCTGGCTGCACGACTTCTATAGGGGTGGGGTGCAAAGCAGTTCTGTAAGTCCCTCTTGCCTGTTTTGGCCACGGGCCACTGTGTAACTAACTAGCCAGGATTACTGGGTTTTATGCCTGAAAGAATGGGAATATTTATTCTTAGGGACTGAGTCTTGGCAGCATGCCGGGGGGCAGCAAGTCACAATGAGCTGTGACTCAATCTAATAGGCCCCACATTGACAGAACACAGGCCAAATTATTCTTTTCAGGCTGTTGGTACATTTTTCCTTTCACTCTGAGTGCGGTGTCTCTGCTGCTGTCAAGTGCAGAAGCTGCTTTAGGCTAAGCTACAATGCGCTTCCTTCCTCCCAGCAGTGCGATAACCTGTGGGTTTTCTATTTTGGGAAGGAAATTGGGTCCTCTCTTGTATCTGCAGATTTTCCACCTGGCTGGCTTTATGCTGTAAAGAACGTTAACTACTTTCATTTTCACATTTGGTGTGTTTAAACTGGGTAACACTGGTGCTTGCAAGATGTACCCTGCTATGTACTGGCACAATGGGGAGCATCCAGGTCGCTCCTGGATTCCTAGACAACGGGAGTTGTAGATTGGCTGGGAGTGTGGGCGGGCAGCTTTCTCTGAAAGAATTTGATGTCACAAGTGTTGCTCAGTGGATGAATTAGGGTTTTGGGATTTGTGGACTCCGGCTTTGCTACTGACCATATACTTGACTATGAAATGACTTTGCTCCATGTGAGGGGCAAATTACCTCCCCCTCTATGTGCCTCAGTTTATCCATTTGTGAAGCAGGGTAATGACCCTGTTTCTCACAGGGGAGTTAATGTTTGCAAAGTGTTTTGAGAGCCTCTGATCAACGACACAGTGGTTCTTCGTTTTGTTTGGTTTTTTAGATGTTGGACAGGTTTAAACCACTTTGCGTTGAAATGTGAATTCTGCCTTGTATAAACGCATAGAAAGGGAAGATCGCTGCCCTGAAGATCTTAACCCTAAATTGAACAGATACAAAGCAGTTAATAACCAAGCGTGTGTGAGTAGACAATACTGGAGAGATGATGATAATCTGTGCCTTTATCTCATCAGATTGAGAATGCTGGTGAGGTCCTGATCACTCCACTGGAGAAATTCCGCAAGGAACAAATTGGTGCTGCTAAGGTAGGTCAGCTGTGCTTCCATGCGCTGTGAATTGACTGCCATCTCTGCACGTGCTTGAAACTAGAAAGGCCTGAAAAGGATAAAAATGTAGCGAACCCTTTCCCTAGTTCCCCCCCACTCCCGAAATGAAACTTGATTGAAATGTGCACAGTGACGAGCAGCTCGGTTTGAGGGAGCCAGGGGGTTTGTACATGCAGACCTGTACCATCTATGGACACCAGGAGGTCAGCCATGGGAGGGAAGAGCTTCCAAAAGTTTCACACCTTCTGTTTAAACCCTTATCTGAACATCTCTGCGGTGGCAGTGGGGCCATTCAAACTTCTAGCCCTGATTACGGTCCTTTGGTACGTCTGACCCTGTCTGAAAGCAGGTGGGATAGGACGAGGACCAAGTGCACACAAAGTTAAGCAAACTTTTTTTTTTTTTTATTTCAAACCTCAAGCAAAGTTTGCATTACTTAGATGAAGTTCTCAACTGATTTTTTTTTCTCTCCGGATCAATTCCCCACATCCCATATGTGTAACTGGAATAGGTTCAGTTTTGTCCAGGTCTATTCCCCCATCCCTACTGTGTAACCAGAATATATTCCGTTTTAATTTAGAAGAGCTTTGCTAAATAGGGCAAATCTCAAATAGATGACAACTGAAACAGTATCTCTCATGGCTGCTACTGAAGCACAAGCCATGGTTTTTGCCTCTTTCCTGTCTTTTCACTGAAATTAAACTTGCAGCTTCGTCTTCCGTCTGCTGCTCTCCTGTTACTATAACAACCTGTTTCTGCCTGCAGGAAACATAAGCTAATGTGTATGAGCTTCATTACCTGTATTCAGTAGCATGTAGGGGCCTCAGCTAGATTAGAGTCCTGTTGTGAAAGGCACAGTGGTTTGGGCTAGTATGGCAGTTCCTATGCTGCTTTAGGGAGAAGTCTATAGCTGAAAAAGATCCTTCCGAAATGGGCTGTTGTTCGTAGGTATCAGATACTATGGAGAAGGTTGTGCAGTGCCTTAGCAGGGTGTCAGCTGTGGGTGCAAAGAAGGCAAAGTACCTGTGCGGTTCCAGACCTTGTTAATCTCTGTAGACCTTTGAAGGATATGGTTCATTGTATTGTGATGGGCTGGCAGTTTATGTGCATTGCTGTTTTATGTTGGGGGTAGCAAGTGGAGTATTTATCCCAAAGAGGGAAAGATAAAGGGCTAGGCTATTCAGCCAAAGTGTGTGTGTTGGCATTTAACCAGAATTGTAAACCCTCCATAACTTCAGAAGTTTCCTCTGGGATCCTCTCAGTACCTGGGGAGGTGGCCAGGACCTTAGGAAACACTTACAGTGCTGAGGGAGGAGATTCTGCTGCCTCCTGTATGGTAGGTGTGAATTCTGGTGCTGATGGCAAGAACAACTGGGGTTGCTGGACTTGGTTCCTGCCGGGACATTATTTGCAATTAGTCTTTTTTTAGAGCAGCAATTGGAGTAGCCCCATGGCACTGCACAGATTTAAAAACATTACATTACCAGAATATTTAGAAAGGGCTCTAGAATTTGATGCCAATTTTTCTTAATCTGTTTCAGATTAGTATGAGGCTTTTTTCCTTCTCCAGAGGGGAATTGATCCGTGTGTGTGAGATGGTGGTGTCAGCTGGTGGGTATGGCAACAAAATGGCTTTGGCTGGTAGATGTCAATAACATCCATGAGGAGGCACCTGCAGTGGTAGCACTGTTATTTTACAGTGCTCGTAGGAGAGAGCTTTGATTACAGTGCTTTCTCTATTACTGTTCCCATTGGAATTCCTGACCCACATAGTGAATGCATTGTTTGTGTGAAATAACCTGCTGTATTTCCAGGTGCTTTTGTGTCACTTCTAAGGTTTGAGTTTAGCAGACTTTTTCAAAATTGCAGATCCCACTAAAACCAGAAGAGAAAAATCCCTTTGCACCCACTTACATCAGAGATGAATTTGGCTCCTGCTATTGACTGACTTTGTACTTTGCTTCCTGGGGACAGTAAAGGAATTTGCAGTTTGTGACTTTCTGCACTGGCTTTGGTATATTTGCGGTTTTGCTGGCTGGGAAACCTTTCCCATCAGTAATGCTGGTGTGGAGGGAGCTGGAGAGTGAATTCTGCCATCCAGATGCCCTCAGAAGGGCTATGAAGAATGTGTGTTTCTGAGGCTGTTTGAAAGTCCCACATCACCATGGTGAAGGCAGTGGAGGATGTAAATGAACCCTTAGAGAATGTTCAGAAGCCCAAATTAAGAGACTTTGAAAGCTTTAATTTCTGAGGTGAGCAGGCCCGAGGTGGCGGAAGGATACTTGGACAGAAATAACAGGTATGCCAGTATCGTAGTAAGCTTGCAAAGATGCCCAAAATCAAACCAAAGTGCTGCTTAGCAGAATCCGATGATAAAGGAAACTGAGGGTCATGCGGCTTTGTTTTCTTGGCCGTTTGTATTGTCCTATGAGACACTGTCCTCTGTGCACTCAGGTGCTCTCAGGAATCTGCATCCATGCCCCAGCCTCTCTGTCAAGAGACCTTTCTAGTAGCGCAGCTGTTGAAGAATAACTTTGGCAAAAAGCACGTTTTTGCTTTCATCTTCTATTGCCATTTCTTTTGTGGCGTGAGCTTGCCAGATACTGTCCTGTCCTTGGCTGCCATCCTGGACAAAGCATCTTGGCAGGTCTCAAATGAGCAAACAGGAGATCATGAACTCTTGATGACCTTTACCCCTTCAAAATGCTGCTCTTTTGCTCACCCTGGGGTTCACATGTGGATGCAGGCGGCCTGTCATTTGGGTCAGCTTCTCTGAAGTGGAGGAATGGGGGTTCATGTGTGATGATGGACACTTTTGGACTGATCATGTGGCCTGGCTACTGTCCAGGGTTCTGTCACCAAGCGTGACTGGCACACCCACAGAGGGGTCACTGCAGTTATGTAAAACAAGTGATTTGCTTGAGTAAAGTGCCTTGTCTGTGCAGCTAATTAAAAGCAGGAGCACTTGGGTTTGTGAAGCTTCCTTCCTTCCACTTTGGGTTTTTTTTTGTCCAGTTTGGCACCAAGTGCAGCATGCCTTCTGTGGGCAAGGTCCTCAGCTTGCAGTCAGTCTAACGTGGTCTTCAGAAGTCAGTATTTTAAAACTTAGAATACATCTGTCCTCTCTGCTTAGTGCTTTCAGGCTCTTGTAAGCCGGGGTCTAGTGGAGGGGATAAGTATGCCACGGAAAGCCCTTCGAATGCACCTCTTTGATGCAAAGGCTGCAGGTTCATTCCCAAACATATTGTGGAGATGGGGGGAGAAACGGGAGGAAGGTGGAAGGAGGTGGGTAAAGGTTATGTTGAAGTGGCCATTTGAAGCTTCCAGTTCACAGAATCTAATTGGTAGATCGTCATGCTGAGGGACACAGGCCGGGTTAAGGTGTCACTCTGGTGGGCAGGGTGTTGGGCGCTAGGAGTGCGCTAGCATTCTTGGCAGGTGTGTAACCAATGACCTGCACTTGGTGCTGGAAATGTCTCTGGATCAGCTCTGGGAACTGGTTATTTGATGAGCTTTGGGGTTTGCGAATGAGTAGAAAGTCTCACTTCCTAGGTCACAGATTTAAATCTGACTCTGTTTAGTGGTGGCTGAAATCCATTATATGATGGCTGCTCAGCGGCCAGTTTTGAAACAAAGTAGGGGCCTCATTGTGGCTTTAGGAGGTGGATGCATGGCCACAATTAACTTGCACCCTAGTTGACAAGACTGAATGCGTCAGGTCCTGGGGAAAACTGGGCCAAGGGGAAAAAGTCACCTAGGCAGTAAGCTATTGTCAGGTTCTGTGAATATGTTCTTTTCTTTCTGTATTGTAGCATGGTGAACTCCACTGTTCTTAGTTCTTTAGAAGCACTCCATTATTTCCCCCCTTAGTTTTCATAGACCCATGTTGGTTACAATTCCTTTGATCTGGCAGTGTTACACTGGAACTATGTTCCCTGTTGGAAATTGTTCATTCACATTCAGCTGACCCCAGCGAGGCTGCTGGTGTGCTGAGACCACTGCCTATTGTGCTGACCAGCATTGTCTCATGTTCTTTCCTTGCACTCTCCTACCTGTCATCTCGTCTGGCACTTGGAATGTAAGCTGTTTGGGGCAGGGACAATCTTTGTTCTGTGTTTGAACAGTGCTGAGCACAATAGGGTCTTGGTCCATGACTCGGACTCCTAGCTGCTGTGGTAACACCAGTAATATCACTGTCTTGGTGTTGGGGCCCTAAAGAGTCAGTGTCATGTGACTGCTCTTGGTGGTTTTAATGTGACATTTGTTTAGTGATGTTTGTTTTTTTGGTAGGATGCCAAGAAGAAGTACGACAAGGAGACGGAGAAGTATTGTGGTGTCTTGGAAAAGCACTTAAACTTGTCTTCTAAGAAGAAAGAATCCCAACTTCAAGAGGTGAGAGCAAGCTCTGGTTTTCAACTTCTGGCATTCTCCTGAGTCAGATCCCGTCATGATCTCTATCTACAACTAGCAAAACCCACTGCGTGGCTGTAAAATGGATATGTTCATGCTGATAGAGAATGACAGGGGTTTTCTCTCTGTTTTGGTAAAGTGAATCCAAGATACCACCAAAAAGACAATGACTAGGCGGGGAGAGAGACCGCCTGTGGTTAAAAGCACCGGATATCAGGAGACTAGAGTTTTACTCCTGGGTCTGCTACAGACATCCTGTATCAACTTGGCTAAGGTGCTTCCCTGCTTTGTGTCTCAATTTCCTAGCCCATAAAATGTGCCCATTAATACCCAATAAGCAGGAAAGGTTGTGAGCTTAATTCATTAACGTTTCAAAACTGCATAAAACCCTCTAATTCAGGTGGAAGCTATCTAATTATTAACAGTGTACTGTGCCAAACTCTAAGTAAGGGTACATCTACACTGCAAAACCAACCAAACAACGACACCCAATCCCCACCCTCCCTCAGTGGAGAGCCTCAGAGTCCAGCTCTACAGACTCGGGCTTGCAGGGCTCGCGCTATGGCTGTAAAAATAGCTGAGTGAATGTTCTGGCCTGGGCTGGGATGGAGCCTGAATTCCAGCCCAAACCGGAATGTCTACACCGCTATTTTTAGTGCTGTAGCATGAGCCTGAGTCTTTAGACTTGGTTGCTGATGCTCTCTGCTACAGTGGGTGGGAGTGGGGGGTGGGGGTGGGGGGAAGGGTTCTCTTTTTTTTTTTTCTCAATGTAGACATACCCGAAGTCACTCCTGTGAACTTCAGTGCTCCCTGAGCTGGCCTAGAGTCTGTTTTTTGATCTGCCCAGGACATTATCCATTTATTGGCCTTAGAAAATGACTTCTGTGAAAGAGATCTTGGCCAAAGCTTGTACGTCTTTTGTGTGTTTGTATAGTATCTAGCACAATAGGGTCCTAGTCCATGACTGGGGCTGCTAGGCAATATGAGAATACAACTAATAAATAATAACTACTTGCCTTTCTAAAATCTAAAGTCAACCAAACCACTCCCCCCATAAATCCCCATAATTATCCACATTTGTCTCCTGATTCACATAACTGCACAAGCCAGTTGTAAGTCCTTATTAATCTGTCCCTGCTGGATAGCACAGATAGTCCGTTGGTTATTTATTATTTATAATACAGCAGTGCCCTCAGGCCTCAGTAGTGGTTGTGGTTTGTTGATTAGGGTCCCATTGTATTAGGCTGCTAAATATTATGATCTAGTTGCTCCTCGATCACCGTTTTACTTTCAGCATTCGAAGCACTGCATGTTCAGTGCTGTGCAGTACTGGAGTGGGAGGATTCTATTTTAGAAAGAGGAGGGAACATAGTGGTAAAGAACGCATTATGCCATTTAAAATGAGTGTTCCTTGAGCATTAAGGTACCTTTCTCCAAGGAAAAGCCTAATAATGTCAGTAGCGACTGTATTGGTATTGCTCCAATGGAACTGCAATAAAGAGCTGTAGTAGAGGATATCAGGGTAGCAGCATTGAATACCAGTGCCATCTGGTGGAGATTTTTTATGTTAAACTTTGGTTTGGGGGCCTGTTGCAAAGAAGAGAATACTTAGTTAGCATAGGCCCATGCTTTCAGACTTGCTTGCATAAAAGTAAGGCACCTCGTTCCATGTTTAGGCACCCAAATAAAAGGCCTGATTTTCACAGGTATGCAGCACCCACAGCTCCCATTGATTCCAAGAAAGTTCATACAGAAGGAGTTATGTAAGCTGAGCCTCTCTGAAAGTCACGGCCCTTTAGGTGCCTTAAATTGGAATGGGGCATCTAACTCTAGGCCTCCAAGTTTGAAAATGTTGGCTTTGGTTCTTCAGGGCATATAAAAGTGGTACAACTTATTTTCGTAGTTTGTAAATTGGGATTCCAGAGAGGGGAAGTCAGCCAGAGGAATGACAGATGCATGCTGAAAAATATGCAGTTGGTGGTGTGGTGGTAACTTTAGAAGAGGGTGTACTGTACCTTATTGGCACTATATAGCTGCATTGTAGGGCCCTGCCCTACGAAGAGACAGTGGTTCAAGTGTGGGAAACCCTTCACTTTGTACCAACTTCCTCTTACTGCCGATACATCTGGGAGAGTGAAATATTTACATGTCCAATGGTTATAGTAAAGGGAAGGGGGAGAGAACCTGGGAATTCTCTGTTGCTCTACAGTTCTGGCTGTTGGACAATTTAAACAGCACAGGAAGTCTGATTTGCCATTTAATTGCTGGCAAGTCCAATATACTGCATCATGTTTTCTGATTTTCAGAGCTCACTTTGCTAAATCCCTCGGTATCTGTATTATGGACACACATGACAGATGTTACAGGTTGGTCATGGTGGAAATAACCCATTTCACGGTTTTGTCACAGATTAATAGGGATAAGTTCCTATTAAAAAGGAAGTAATTACCAACAATGGTCTTCAAAAGTAAAAGCAGCCGCATGTTAGGCTCTGTACTGGGCACAGGGTATGGTAGGCCCCCCCGGGGTAGATTGCTCTTCTCAAATTACCCTGGTGTTGACTTCCCAGCGGTCTTGCTGTGGCCAAGCTCTGTGCAAGGTACTATTAGTCTGGAAAATTATATCTGGATAATTATGTTGGTTAAGGCTGTGGTTATTTTTAATTGATGTCATTAAACTGATACAACCCCTAGTGTGGACTGAGCTATACTAGTGTAGACAAGGAATAGAAAACAGCCCTGCACTGAGTGGGGATGGACTAGATGATCTAACAAACCTTTCTTGCCATTCACTTCTAGAATTCTCTGAAAGCCTTTGTTTTGTAATTGCAATGGAGGGCACACCAGCACAGCAGAGGCAAAGGAAACAATTGAGTAAATAAAGGGGCTGCAATGAATTTATTTAGTGTAATAATCCTTATACTTTGTAAAGCAAGAGATAATTAGAATAAGGCCTGGAATCAGGATTCCTAGTTCTGCTACTGGCTTTCTGAGGACCCCGGGCAAGTCATTTAGAGTCTGAATCCCTCCTCACCCCCAATTTCTAACACCTACATTTGATTTCAATGGGGACTGTGGTGCTTAGAAACACACCTGAAAAACTGCCCATAGTCTCTCTGACCTCCAGGTCCCCATCTGTAAAATGGGGGCAGTAGTCTTTAACTACTTCGCAAAGTGCTGATTGTGAGGTTTTAAGTGCTATGCAATCCTTAAATGAGGTATGACAGAGAAGGAGTACATCTGATTACAAAGTTACTGAGTCATTTTATTTTTATTTGCGTGTCACCATGGTTTGGGAGCTGACCATATCCAGCTTTGATCATTGGGAAGAACTTAATCCATAGTCACAAAGGAGAAAGAGTCAACAGGTTTCTAGGAGCAGAGGTCTGAAGGCCACCTTAATTCCTCTGCATATTAAAAAAAGGGATGGTGTCCCACATAAGAGTGATGTAGTTCCACCCTGGCACGTACGTATGTGTCCGGATGCACCATCATGGTGGCTAAGGACGGTCGCTAGTCATGCTCTCTTGGGCTTTGGAGTCAAACCATTCTCAAAGGACAATGCGCTTTCCTTCTGCTGGGTCATCAAAGCTAGAGCTCACTGGCCTTCATGGTGAAGTGCAAGGTGTATACTAAGCTATCTGAGTATTTATTTGACTATGGAATATTACTGGAGGGACTCTTATTATCATGGGTTTGCTGGTCAGGGCAGAGGAGCTGGGGAAGCTGCTTTGTACTACAAGTGTATTTATTGCTTTTACTGTGTGTTGTCCACCCAGCAGTCGTGGACATAAGAACACAAAAATAATTTCATACATAATTTTCAGATGAAGAAAGTGTGTCTTCATGCGAACTAGGTTTGTATGTAATCTCTCTGCCATCTGCTTAGCCCTGCTTTGGTATCTGGTACTAAATTTACGTTCTGTATGGACACGTTCTCATTAGACCCTGATATCTTGTGATCTTGAAGCTAAATGTTCAGTCAGTAGTTATACTGTATTTCCTCTCTAATTCCCATGGTTCTCACAGGCAGACAGCCAGGTGGACCTGGTTCGACAGCATTTTTATGAAGTCTCCCTTGAGTATGTCTTCAAGGTGCAAGAAGTCCAGGAGAGGAAGATGTTTGAATTTGTGGAACCTGTAAGTAAACATTCAAAATTTCTTAGCCTACTGACTGTTGCTGGCAACTAAATTACTTTAGAGTATAGAAGGTTTGTCTGAGGCACTGATTTTGTGAAACAGTTTCTTTTTTGTTTTGATGGAAGGCCTGGTATCTCTGCTATTCCAGAGCCGTCTGACAAACAGCAACTTCAATAACCCGCGTATGAAGTGTGTGGTTCTAGTGGGTGACTAGACACCTCAGGTTGCTGGAACTTTAACGCTTAAGACACTTATCAAGAGACAGAGAGAAGAGAAGAATGCAGGGGTGGGGATGGCCCTCTTGGAAATTCCAGGTGAAAATTGTCAACAGGTTCCAGCTGGCAGCTAAGTTTAGGAACAGAACATTAGGTAGTCTGAGCTACTGGTTGTCTGTAGAAACCAGTGGAGACCAGCTGGATTTGCAAGCTGATGGAATGACTGTGCAGAGAGGAAAACAACCACATGTTTTAGTCAGCAAGGTCTCTTCCTTAAGGGATAGAATTTAGGACAGGTAAGTGAAATAAGTTCTAAGCAGGAAGAAAAAGGGGGTAACTCCCCCAGCTGACTTCAACCCAGACCCTGAACTCTGGTTGTAGAGACCAACCTTTCCAAAGACATTTTCCCCATTGTGCTTGCAGGAAGGCTTGGGTACCAATTGTGCAAGGGCACAGGCTAGTGGAGATAGAGTTGTTAGCCTCATGTTCACTGTGCACAAAACTCTGATGGGTTCTACAAGAATTTCCACCAGGGTGAAGAAGTCTTACGGACGAGAGGCTCGTTATTAGACAGTGGTCAACTGGCGAATGAAAACCTGGTTCGGAAGTTTATCTGTAAGGGGAAAATAAAAGCCAATAATAACAGTAGCATCTGAGATTAATGGAGTCTTAGAGAGAGAAGAAGAAAAAAATAGGATTAAAGAAATGATACAGGAATAAAAATAGAAGAGTCTTACCTCTGCATTTGCTCAGGTATTATGCCTGGTGAAGCACCTCTGAGGGATTTGATAAAACCCTATTTCAGTCCTTTTAAGAGAAGAATAAACCAAAGTGAAAAGAAGGTATGACCTTAGCACTAGCTGCTTATTGCCTGGTTTACCCTGACAAGGCATGACTCTACTTCTCAATAAAGTGATGGGTGAACTATTCAAGGATGTGGCGGGGGTTATATGCAGGAGTTTTACTAGACAAGCAGAAGGCCTAGTTATCAGAAAAGCTCAGCTTGATATTCTACAGGAATTGTCTAGACAGACTCCTGCTTTGTTCAGTACAATATGACATGTTAGTGAAGCATAGAGGAGTCTTTTGTGAGCATTGGATTTTTGGACCTTGGACTTGAAACAGCAGGGTAAATTGAGCCTAAAAAAGAAGGGTTGTTTAGTTAGATACTCATCTCTGTGGTCAAAAAGTTCATTGTTTGGGGATCCCAGTGGAACTGGTTCTGGGCAAAACCCAAGATGCTAGTATTTTGGTTCATATATTATCAGCTATCAGTGAAGGCAGGGAATCGCATGGAAAGAAGGAATGATGGCCTACTGGATGCTGAACTGGGACTAGTGAGACTAGAGTCAGTTCCCAGTTTATCAGTGACTTTTGGCACTTTTTTGTGCCTCTCTTTTCCATCAGTAAAATGGGGCAATACTTATTAACCTCTTCTGGATGTTGAGATAAAGTCCACTAATGGTTGTGAGGCACTTGGATGCTGCAGTGACGAGGGCCATATGTGTACCTAGATAGAAAAGGAAAAAAGTTTTTTTCATAATACTGAATCACTCACACCCCCAGTCTGGGATTCAGCCAGAAGTGCAGAGGTTCACAGGAAAGAACAATAAATCACAGCACGTTTTTCAGAACTTCCTCTTTGGTTTAGAGGTTGCTATGAAGGTTGGGGTTGGTTTGTAAGCCGAATTGGTTCAACCAGTCCTCGTGTTAATCCATTTCCTGAAAGGGAAAATGAGCTGCTTTGAGGCAGAGTTGGGAAATGAAGCCCAATCCCTTATGGAAATAGGACACACAAGTTAATACTACGGAAGGTATTGATTGTAAAGGGGCAATATTAATTAACATTGTTGTGTTCAATGAATGTAGCCTGTGTAAGAGATTCCGGAGAATAGGGAGGAGTCTCTCTGATTTCCAGGAATCAGTTTCATAGTATCTTCCCTTTGTTTGTTATAATGGTGTGACCGAGCGGGAGCTGGAGAATGGAGAAATGTGTGCACTGGCTTTCAGGGGGTCATTGCATGCAGTCGCTATATTTTGGACTTCAACTGGTGTTAGGGTGGTTTAGGCTGCATTTTGCTGTCGTCTTGAATGTTTCTTCAACAGGGTCTTGTACCCCTGATGGCTTTTGTGCACCTTCCAGCCAGCATCTCCTGTCCCTATCCACTGTTGAAGAGAGAAAATAGAGGTTACACCCCTAGAACTTCCCTCAGTCTCATCCGGGTCTTCACTCTCTTCTTCCCTCATCTCCATTGCTTATTTTTCCCCACCGTACAAGAATTCCTAAATGATTCAATTCTGTACGTGCACCTATCAAAGTGTAGAGGAAGATTTTTTCCCCCCAAAGGCACCAATAGGAGATAAATGTCCAACTTCCACTGACAATTAATTTACTAGTTCCCATTTATGCCTTTAAAAGTCTGCCCCTCTAAAACGTTGATCCATTCAATGACATCTTCAGCATCAGTCGGTTTGAAAAAGGTGGTAGTGTCTACTGATGAATATGGTTCTTTGCAGCTGCTGGCGTTCCTGCAAGGGCTCTTCACATTCTACCATCATGGCTATGAACTCGCAAAGGACTTCAGCGACTTCAAGACAGAGCTGACAATCAGCATACAGAATGTAAGTGTATGTAAAGGAGAAAGTCTGTATGTGGATGCGTGTGACCGTCTTGCACAGAGAATTAACATTTCCCCTATATATAATTAGCTTTCCTGAATGCTACTCAGCAGAAGGCTTTATAGCATAATTGAAAGCAAATGCTTTCTTTTTGTGTGTGTGTGTAGATGACACTACATTAAACGCACAACCCAAATAACAATTTATTCCCCTGGGCATGGCAAGTGCAGAGAGCCAGACATCCTCAGGAGGACTTGGCAAGCAGACAGCGGTTTTTAAGTGCACCACACTTTAGCAAGTATTTCAAAGGCTTGTTTGTCTTAAGAATTGCAAACACCCCCCTTCCCCCCCCATTTTTTTTTTTTTTGTCAGTGGCAGACATTGGGATTTCTGTAGCTGAGAGAACTTGCACAGCCCCCTCCCCTGGCAGCCAGGCATATGGTTAATATCCAACAGGTGGACTTGTGCCTGTGTTTGGGAGATCAAGTGTGTGTTGCTTGCTTGCCTTTTTTATTAGGATTGCTGTTTTTCTCCAGAAGATGCAAATTTGCTGAGTTCTCTCTGAAACAAAGTCACTTTTCTCCAGAGGATGCAAATTTGCGGAATTCTCTCAGAAAACTCTCAAAAAACATCACACACCTCAGTGCTTGTTCTCCCCTCCCATCCCCCCCAAAATTAAAAATACAGCCCTGTGAAACCATTTGATGAAGGACAGCAGTTTGTTGTTGTGTCTTGCCTATCGTTGTGTGGTGCTTCCATTTTCAGCAAAGACTGCTGTTCTGCCACTTACCAGCCTGGGCCCCTGAATGCTAATTTACAAAAATGAATAGAATTCATTCGTGTACCTGTCAAACTGAGGTGTGCTGGGTGATCCCTCTAGCACTGCCACAGTGCTCAGTGGTGGTGTGCAAGAGATCAGATTTGATTTCCAGCCTCCTAGTCAGGGTTGGGCACTGGGAGTAGAGGCAACAACAGAGTCCTTCACTAAAACAAAAACCCAGAACTATTTCAAACTTCTGCCTCCCTGTCTGCCCAAAGTGCCATAGTAACACTGTTGTATTTTGGACCAATTCTGTACAATACAATAGCATGTGTATATATTACACGCACACGCACACAGAGTGGTAAAAACCTTATTAAGATTGCAAAGTTGGGAAATGCCAGAATTCAGATCACCTGTGCCAGTCCTCGTTCTCCCCCTGTGTCATGTCTGGCTCCTCTGGTTCCCGGTTTCCCTCCTGTCCCTGGCTCCTTATCCAATCTACTTGCCCCATATCCCGATGTCTTACTCTTGTTCCTTCTGCGTTCAGTTCAGGCAGCTTCCTCCTCCATGTTGCCCGGGCTGAGAAGAGCACAGACAGGCTACCTGCTCTCCGTTCAGTGTCCAGACCTGGGACTGGCACAGTCCAGAGGCCACAGCTGAAATTGCAGGGAAAAACCTGCCCAGCCCCAGTCTAGAGCTTGCACACAGAGGATGGGATATTTAGGGAATTAAGCTGAAGCTCTAGCAAGTCTCTACTGACATGTGCAAACTGTTGGTTTTTTTAAAAGGCTTATAACTTGGCCAAATCGGAGTGATTTCCCCCAGGAATGGCAAAAGGCATATCGCTGACACAAAAGCGACTCCCCCTCCCAAATTACCAGTCCTTACTCCAAAGCAGGGGGCGCTATAACATTTTCAAAGAAAATGTCAGAATTTAGTATGGGTAAAATGTACTTTTCCCTTTGCCTCGCTCTCAGAAATGGCCAGATAATTGTGGCTGAAATTTTCCGATAACATTCAGCCTGAGGCAGACACCTGGCATGGAAAATTTCAGCCCAACAGTTAAAGTTTGACAAAGTTACAAGTAACTGAAAACAGGGTGTTATAAAGGGAAGTGTTGGGTAGTGTGAGTAGTTGGCAGCGCTGCCAGCCCCAACCATAATTATTAGCATTAAAAACTATGAGATGAGGGAACAGAGACCCTGAGTAAGCCAAGCATATGCTTATATCCACTCATATTCAGCAAAGTGTTTAAATAGGAATTTAAGTCCCGCTGAAGTCAGTGGGATATAAACACGAGCTTCGGTATTTTGCTGAATAGGGATGGACTTCTGAACCAGGGTTGGAGTAGTTGTGAGGGCTCCCACCTAGATTACAGGAGGGCAAAGAAATATACCAGATAAAGTTAGCCACGGGTCCCTGGTTGTCTCTAGGTAAATTCCTTTACAATAGCACACAGGTAGCACTGTGTGTATTGAAAGCTCTGGGGAAACGTGGATAATGGAAAATATATTTTTCAAAAATTATAGACAAGAAATCGTTTTGAAGGAACCCGGTCGGAGGTTGAGTCCTTGATGAGGAAGATGAAGGAGAATCCCGACGAGCACAGGAACATGAGCCCTTTCACAATGGAGGGCTATCTCTACGTCCAGGAGAAACGTAAGTGCTGTTGCCTTGAAGTTACTGAGCTGTTCTCTGCTGCCACTCGGTGGAGACTAAAGTGCAGAGTGGGAGCACTGGCTCTGCAAAACAGCATGGTCCATGTGAAATGGCAAGAGATGCGGGGGGATTGGGGGAAGAAATAAATCCTGTCAGTTCTTGAGTTGGATTTGAATTACAGGCCTAGGGTAGCCACTTGTGCAGCTTTCTGCAGGAGCATCCCCACTGCCAGCAGGGCGGGCCCACATTCTGCAGTTCTGGGAAATTCTCTCCAGCTCCTTCAGCTTTCCCCCACGGTGACTCTGCATTGTGGTGCTGCAGGTGTATCCCACAGGACAACCAGCATACGAGCTCGTTCCATGGTTCACGCCTCACGGTTCGCCTTTTACCTGCCTTTGGTTTTTTTACACCCAATGAGGTAGTCTGTTCCTGCTGAGCCTGTTAGCTCCTTGGCATACTCTCTTTGCAGTCCCTGAAAAATGAATTGTGCACAGTACTAACCAGAATAGGTGGGGGCTATCCCACAGCACTTTGCTCTGGCCGTGTAACTTTGATATTCCCCAAGTCTGGCATGTAATTCGAAGCCCATCTCAGCGAATTCTTACCACCCTGGGTGGATAGAAGTAGAGGTCTCGGCACTAGAGAAGATACTGCATTGAACAACCCTGCCCTGGTAGGGGGAGGGACTAGAATCCAGCTACTAGGAGCCTGACCCAAGGGTCAGGAAAGACTCCGAAATGATCTACTGAGTCAATTCTATCTTTAATTTCTATGAAGAGGAAGGATGGTCCAGTGGTTAATCTCTAGCATGGGACTAAGGAGACTGGTTCAGTTCTCTGCTCCACTCCCTGCGTGGCCTTGGGCAAGTCACTTGTCCACTCTGTGGCTCAGTTTCCCACGTAAAATGGGAATAACAGCAGTGCCCTACCTCACGGAGGTGTGTGAGGGTCAATACATTACAGACTGTGAAGTGCTCTGATGCTATGGTGATGCGGGCAGATAAGTACATAGATAGAACTCCCTGGTTTCCTAATTGGTGATATCTCAGGCAAAAGTGGGAAAGCGGTTAGTTAGGGTATCTTCCTTAAGAGTGAGAAACTTGTCTGCAAAAAGGTCTGGAGTCTGTACAGTGGGATAAAAGAAGAATGAGACCCTCACTAAATGCCCACTTTTGCTTGGCAAGGAAAGTGAGTAAATGCTACATTCTAGGAATAATCTGAAATGACATGGAGGCCAATGATAGTGGGGAGGTCCAACATAGCAGACTGAGGAGTAATTTGCTCAAGTGAAACTGCTGAAGCCTTGTTGCTTGGTACATTCCAAAACTGGATGGAGCCAACCAAGCTTGGCGAATATACAGGAGTGACTAAAGGTGGACAAGATAAATGCTAACTGGTCTGTTCTATAGTTTTTCTGTAGCTAATCCTCTGATTATATCACGGAATATGAAACTAAAGCTAATTTAGCAAATTACCAGGTCTGTCCATAGGAATCAGCTTGGTCCAATGGATGGGACACTGGGCTCGGAGCCTGGAGACTTGTATTCTATTCCCGACTCTGCCAGGGATTGATTTAATTCTGGATCTCGCTTTCCCCTCCATGCAGTGGGGATTATCATGCTTTTACTCACTTTTGTAAAGTGCTTTTGAGAACGCTAGATGCAAGAGTCTGTATCGTTCGTCTTAGGATGTTTAATGGTAGCTTTGGTAACGACTGCTTTGTAGACCGTCGTTAATTGTTAGAAATCTCAAAACTTAAATTCCGTTGTAGGTCACTTTGGAACCTCCTGGGTGAAGCATTACTGCACGTATCAGAGGGAATCTAAACGAATCACTATGGTATCATTTGACCAGAAATCTGGAGGAAAAGGGGTGAGTGGAAATAAGCCAAGTGCACTCATGCTAGGGTCACCCGAATGGTGATTTTCTGGGGAAGAGCTGGCGTGAGTCTTGCTCTTGGCCCAACAAAGGTTGGATTGGGAATGTTTTGTGTCTGTCAACGACAAACCCTTGAAACTGCCAAAACCTTGGCACTGATGGATTTCATTGATGGGTTCTATCCACTCTTCTAAATCTCTTCTCTCCCCACTAACCTCTGCTAGAAACTCTTTTTTAGCAGAATGACACAGTAAAGTGCTGGCACCTATGTTTTCTCATCTTTTGAGAATGACACCCCCACTTTTCCCTGGGAGAGGACTTTTTGTTGGAAAGGCCATTGTTGCCTTTCAATCAGAAGCTTTCTTCTCCAGTGAGCACTCTAAGGAGTTGTTAACATCCACTCTCTCTGGCACACACCCACAGCACTAGCTAATTAGTCACTGAGAGGGTGGCTTAAAATATTAATGTGCAGATATTGCAAAGAGAGCCTCAGGGTGCTGATTTAAAGAGATGTAGATCACATCTCTGTGGGTACTAACAAGCTATGTAAAACCATCATGGTGGGGAAATAACATTGGCAGAGTAAACAATGTAATTCAGCAGCAGCCTTCCATTCAGTAAAGGAGTAGCAACTCAGTAAGAGCATGTCTACTTATGGAGCTAGTTAAGAATAAATCCACATGTGCAGACCCTAAAGGCTTGTCTACTTAGGGACACTAAGGGCACGTCTTCACTACCCGCCGATCCGGCGGGTAGCAATCGGTCTATCGGGGATCGACTTACCGCGTCTAGTGAAGACGCGATAAAATCGATCCCTGATGGCTCTACCGTCGACTCCGGAAATCCACCGCGGCAAGAGGCGGTAGCGGAGTCGACGGCGGCGCGGCAGCGGTCGACTTGCCGCCGTCCTCACAGCCAGCTAAGTGGACCTAAAATACGCCACTTCAGCTACGCTATTCACGTAGCTGAAGTTGTGTATTTTAGGTCGACCCCCCGCTGTAGTGTAGACCTAGCTTCAGGAAAGTTAATCCGAATTAATTAAAGGAGAGAATTAAAAGTGGATTAGTTAAACTGCATTAAACCCCTGTGTGGACACTCTCAGAAATAAAGTGGCCTAATGTGTAGTGTAATTACCCAAGAATGTAACAACGGCCATACTTGGTCAGACCAATGGTCCATCTAGCTCAGTATCCTGTCTTCTGACAGTGGCCAGTACCAGATACATTCTTCACTGTATGAATTTATCTTTCTTTAACCAAACAAAGCGCCTACAGAGATCAGTCCCCTTTTTAAGGGTGACCTGACCACAATACTTCAGCTCCCCTACACTTCAGTAATGGCACAAATCTCCCCTGAGGCTAATGTATTGGCTGACTGGCATCCATAGCTCTTTATATACACTCCATCCCAGGTAGAATGAACTCTCTTCCATTGCTATCCGGTCTTTAGCATGACTCCTTGCTAGGGGATGCTCACTTCATTTAGCTCTTGTCCACACACCAGATTATTTTTTTCCTGCTTTAACTGTACCAATATAAAGCATCTTTATACCAGTGTAACTGAATTGCACTAGAGCTTGTACCATGGTAACTATATCAGTGAAAAACCACACCCCTAACTGACACAGTTATACCAGTATGATTGTCAAGTGTAGATCAGCCCACAGTGACTCTGCTGTAACCAATACTGTAGTTTTTTAGAGGCTTTGCAAGTCTTTCCATCCACTAAGGCATGCCAGGAATCTTTCTGAAGCAGACAACAGCAGCAGGCGGGAGATATGTGACCTCTCTTGATCAGCAGAGGGATCTCTGCTGTTGTAGGCTGCGGAGGCTCTGTCTGTCATCTGCCTGTTTTCAGCCTCTCGGGAAACCACCTCAGGCTATGGCTGGAGCCAAATACTAATCAGTTTAAAATTGCTTTCTCTCCAAATGGCATTCTTGGAATACCACTTCCCCGGCAGCAGTGGGCAAATCCAGCTAACTTCAGGGAAATGAGTTTAGGATTGGGGCACAAGCTAACTCTGTTGATCCTCATGGCAGAATCCTTGCAGTCAATGTGGAGAGTTCGTTAGAACAGGCTATTGGTGTCAATGTTATTCTAGTTCCCTAATACATTTTCTGGAATGGTTGATGTCAGTGTTGTGATTGTCTAGCACGACTGGTCAGTGAAGCGCGAAAAAGACATGAAAAATACAGGAAGTTTGCAAACTCAAAACTTTTTCATTTTTTTTTGTTTAAATTGAACCATCGGTGTTTTTTAAAAATTCACCTGAGACATCAAGAGCATACATCAGACAGGATCACTCAACAACTGAGAGCAAAGAATCCTGTCTAAATTCACGTTGCATTAAAGAAACCTGTGCTATGTTTGTTGTCGTTACTACTCACACATGTCATGGCAATGTTACTGTAAAAATGATCTTTATCATGCCCCCACTGCATTTCCTCTTCTGTGCTGGTAAATGTGTGCTCAATTTGCATGCATTTTATTCAATGAGTTGATATATAGTTTTAATGTATTATAGCTAGGGCTGTGTCTGTCACGGAGGTCGCAGAAGTCACGGATTCTGTGACTTTCCACGACCTCCATGACTTTTTTGCAGCGGCTGGTGCGGCTGGCCCCGGGGACTGCCTGAGCAAAGGTCCTGGGGTGGCCCCCAGCAGATGGTGCAGCTGGCCCCCCCGGCCCCCCCAGCAGCCCCCCGCCCCCCCCCCCCCCCCCCCCCCCCCAAGATTTAGTTAGAGGTATTTATAAGTCATGGACAGGTCACAGGCCGTGAATTTTTGTTTATTGTCCATGTCCTTTCCATGACTTTTACTAAAAATATCCATGACTAAATCGTAGCCTTAATTCTAGTGTGTTTGTGGCCACCTTACAACACAGGGTCTAATGTCCATGGATTGCAGGGTCCATGGTTACTGTTACACAATAGAACTGAAATGATCATGCTCTATCAGCAGAGATACCTACCACTCAAGCTAAAGGAAAATCTCCTTTAACTAAACACTGCAGCAGTTCTGATTCCATCCAG